GGTAATTGAAGCTTTTGCAGGATCTCGGGTTCGAAACTTTGCGTCTGGCGAAGCAAAGCTCAGGATTTATGGCAGTCACAACTGTGTCCATCTTTGATGGTCTGTAAAGGTCCGTCGTTCAATTAGATAGAGCCAAATTGTCCAGTTTAGGCATTTATTCATATAAAGCATATCTTGAAACTACCCATAAACCTTGATGACAGTTCCGGTTAGTAAAATTGTCATACGGTGATGAAGTAATAACAGATGAATTTTTCCGCAATGATGTGTGTCAGTGAATTTTACATGGACATTTTACCTTGAGGTATTCTCATGTAGAGCAGAGTGTAGGAGATCGTCACTGAAAACGCGAGACTTTTCTTCGATAACAGAAAATTAAAATACTAGCCCTTTATCACCTTAAACGGAAAAGAGTAAATATAGCTTTAATATGAATACTGCACACTAACAGAAACGAAATTTTTATTTACCCCCACATATGTATTACTTACAAAATAGCCAGTAATATAATGGAGAAAATGGAAAAAATGTTGTTTGTGAATAGTTTGGAAGTTCTCAGTTTAATAGTTAAATTTTGAGCTTAAACCTATCTAGCGAGTGTGCTAATATTATTTTTTCAAATAGTTATGCTAGAATATTGCGTTTCACTATATCCAAAAGAGGTAATAATATATTTTTAATTGCTTCAATAGTGGACTTGTTTCATTCTAGCCAACGGAGCACATAAAGCTATATAATGTGTCATTTAAATTATGTCAAATGAAAAAAAACTGTGTGATCAAAATTGCATTAAGTACTTCTCAAACCGTGCCATGTTTCTAAGCTGAACATAAATTATTATTTTGTTATTTGGCAGTATGAAAAGGACAGTTTAAATAAGTTCATATTTTCATTTAACCACCATCTGTTCACAAAATGTATCGTCAAAGATTAAATAAGTACTACTCATGAAAAGTTTCAGAAGATTTAAACTAGAGCGGATAATTAACATACTAACATCAATAATCTCTGATTGCCACGCCAGGTTGAGCTGGAGGTGATTCTTTACGCAATCTTGGTCATGTCTTTCATTGGGTCCTAAAGCCTTGAAGATCCGGGGCTGACGTTAGTCTCTTTCGTTGTTACTCCAAAGTGACCCAAAAGGCATATTACCTCCTCGGTCAGACAAGCCCTGTCTCAGTAAACTACACTGAATTAAATAATTTCTAATCAAAGCAAACCTTTATTAATTTGCATCTTATGTGTAGAATGGTGTGTTATACGCCCGCCGAATATTTCGCAATGGACGGGATATACTACTGATGTGTTGTAAGTAGTCATTGCTCACGGCGGACAGAGATCCTTGAATAAGAACTTAGTCAGCCTTGATCTCTTAAGGTAGGCAAAAGATTTATATTTATGTTTGCTAAAAAGCGAGAATATGTCTCCCAATGGCATTAAATTTGCTTTGGTTTTGCTATCTCAGCCAGATTGGAATTGACCCGACTATAGTTTCTTCCACTCCTGAATTGGTCTCATCGCCATCCAAACGGGATTCGATATCTGGTCGTGAATATTGCGATGACGTCAGCACTCGTTTACACATTCACATCTTTAACGGGTTTCGTGGTCAAGTAGGCATGTATTTTCCATTTCAATCGAAAGCATTACTTATTTTGGGTATAAGGACCATCAGTAAAGCATTACCATATTCTCAGCCCCACATTTTTTCACACTCTAATGATTACTACAATATCTGTACACTCATTTCGGTAGTAATTATCGAATAAATATTTCTTTACAAAAAGAGTACTAACCAAAACATTAAGGCTAATCTAATACCCATTTCCAACAGATTCATTGAAATATCTTATCCAAAGTATATTTAAGGTGAATGCGGGTTTCGAATAACCTTAACTGATAAGAATGTTGGGAACACAACGCAATCATGGCCAGGCTTCTCTTTGAGCCATTGAGCTTTGATGATCCGGAGCTGACGTTGAACTCTTTTTAATTTCTTTGAGTTATGGTCGGTTTTACGTACATACTTTAAAATACACACACACACACACACAGGCACACTTGAATATTATATTATTTTATATTTCGTTTTGAGTAGGCTTTCGAGACCACCATTAAATTAGATCTATCAAGTATATTCACCCTATTTCGTTTGAGGTGATGGAGGAGCTGAAAGTTGAATTCCCTTCAATTTCATATATTTTCTCTCATCTTTATGATATTCCGGTAGTTGTTAGACTCGTTTCGACTTATATCCATAGAGAGTGAGCTTCAAAATTAATGATGACTCCTGGATGCGAGTTCTTGTTTACTACACACCCATTAAGTTCCTGGTGTGAGGTCTCTGTGGCGATTCCACACCCTCAGCTCGTCTTCGAGCCGATCAAAATGAGCCCAACAGAACCGTTGAGCCTCGAGAGTCGCCAAAGTGGAGGTTAGCTCGTCAGCTCGGCAAAAAAGGCATACTCGACAGACAATCTGTTCATTTGACAATCATTTGTTTATTAGTACCAATTTAAGAGTTGCCCAACTGCCCCATTTCAGAATGATGCCGACTTGGCTGACGTCGAGCCAATTGAAACAGTTTGCAGCTGATCCGCCCTTCACCATTCGGCGGCGAAGGTTTTGGTTTCCATGGTTCGAATCCCGTCGAGGGTTTCGGACAGTCTGGCCTTTGTTGCCTGAAACAAAGCAGGCAATAACAGATGAATTTTGTCAACTTGGCATGGCAACACATGCACATACGCACGCACGCACACACACACACACACACGCACAGCATGTGTTCCATGAGGGTATGTACAAGGCTGGCTAAAAATGGGGTGATGAAGGGAGGAGGAAGATGTGACCATGTCAGACCGGGACTGCGGGAGGCTCTTTCAGACTGGCCTGACGCAAGAGGAGGGCGACGAAGAGGGTGAGAAGAAGCGGGGCAGGGTTATGGTACAGGAGTGTTGGGTTGTCGTCACGTCTGAGCGCCTCGTTCGCCTGCTTCCTCTGCTCACCTTGACGTGTTGAATGCTTTGTCTGCACGTCGCGTGGGTACAGCGTCTTGACGACGACCGGATCGAGACTTTCGAGGAGACCGGCTGTGACGAGACGGTGTGGCCGGGGCGAGAGAGGTGAGTTCGAGTCGCGGCTCAACACGACGACATGGCAACACGTGTAGAGGTTGGAGAGGTGATGCGAGCAAATGGGAGCCTGAGCAAATGAAACGACGCTGGCCGCGGGGTCGTGGCCAGACTGGCCGGGCCAGACGGGTCCCCTGAGGAGGGCGGTCT